GTCCAACTCAGGAGAGCAGCCTAGGGTGACAATGCCGCTCCTCCATAGATACAGTAAGAGGACATAGCCACCCTAGTACAAAAGTTTGTTACTAGCTTGATCAACAGGTGAAGGTAAAGGGGGGGAAAAAAACCCAAAAACAACGCAACCACCACATGTAGACTGGTAAGCAGGTATAGAATAGTTTAATCTCAGCTAGTTATTAAGCAAGGTGTATCAAATGCTCCCCCATACCCCAATTGCCAGTAGTGGGGCTGCCATTAAAGTAAACTTGTTGCTTTGGCCCACACTGGCACAACACAGGTTTGATTGAACCTATGTGAACTACCAGCACTCTTTTTTTTTTTAAATAACCAAGAAGGGAGGAACTCCAAACACTCTTTCACCCACAAAGCAATTGGCCACAATCAGGGATGCCCCGATGCCATTTTCCCCCCAGAGTACACATACTGATACTTTTCCTTAAGAACTCGCCAATACCAATTACAGACACCTTTTTTTAGTGTCCTGTTACAGTTTTTATGAAACCATACAGACTAATGGTTTAAGAGTAGTGGTGAAGTGCCAGGGCCCAGTTCCAGCTACAAATGTTGCACCTCTGGTAGTTCTGCCGCTGACTCTAAGCTGTAGAGGGACTACAAATCCCAGCAATACATTATATAGCACTGCAGAATACCACTAGCTATTGAGGACTACAAATCCCAGCAATACATTATACAGCAATGCAGAATACCACCAGCTATTGAGGACTACAAATCCCAACATTATACAGCAAAGCAGAATAATATCAGCTAGAGAGGACTACAAATCCCAATCGATGCATTATACAGCAATGCCGAATGGCAAAGGCTATAGAGGACTACAAATCCCAGCAATGCTTTATACATCCGGGGTGTTGGCCTGATGTTTCCAGCGGAGGATCTCAGGTGGCTGTGTGGGGTCTCAAAAGAGGTCCTGGTCGGTCTTGCAGGCGGATGCAAACAGCCTGGTTCCACGGAAGGAGATTAGCTGCCGGCACCTTGCTGGGGACCTCGGCAGCCTCCCTGTGCACAGCAGCACCCGTTTACGGTGCCGGGTTCCATTTAGTAAATCCAACGCGCCGGTATGGGCGCTTAGTGTCGGGGCATTTTCATGAGTACTCATGAAAATGCCCGGTAGCGGTGCATCCCTGGGGTCACAATTAATTACCATTAAGCTGGATTTATATGCTTTACATATCCCTTGGGGCCTCCTGTGGTTGGATCTTCATATCACTGTTTCCAGCTTTGTTCCAGTCCACGTAGTAGTATCCAGTGCTCCGACTTTCCATTTGGGGTTTCCACTGCTCATGTTACACTCTGCTTAATATAAGCTCAAATACAACAGAGATTCGCTGGTCACGGCTGCAGCAGGAGAGAAAAATCAGAACAAAAGCTCAGATCTCAACTCTCAATTGGTGGATTGACGCTTTAAAGCTCAACTGCAGCCAAACTGTTACATTTTAAATTTCCAAAAGAGTGGGGAAGAGTTAGAACTGATCTCCGGGATAAGCAAATATTGTCTAAATACAGGAGACGTGTATATTTTACTTAAATCTTGGAGTTCTTTGTGCATTTCCTCCAGATGTGTAGTAATCCATTGTGAAATCTTGCCTCTGCAGGAGCTTCCTATAGTAAAGACCACTCACTGCTGCTCTCCACTTGTGCAGGGTGACTTGGTCTTGTATCCGCCCACTCCTGTCGTTTTCTATAGGCTACCTGAAAGGGGTGGGTCTGCTGGGATCCTCCCACAACTCTGCTCAAGATATGTGCAACACAGTGATATTTTCACTTGTTCTTTTAAAACAGGAGTAGCCAAACTTTAACCCTCCAGCTGTTGTAAAACTACAAGTCCCATAAGGCATTCTAAGACTGACAGCTACAGGCATGACTTCCAGGGATAGATGCAGAATGGGATTTGTAGTTCTGACACAGCTGGAGGCTCAAAGCTTCCACTGATTTACGTGGTAAAAAAAAAAGAGTTTGGGGCAGACAACATGGATCGATATCTTTTGCGGCTCCTGGGGAACATTGGAAAGATTGTCCCTCAACTTCGGTCCCCTTGACAGCAGTATACGAAATGGGGCTGTGGTTATCACCGGGACAGGAAGGCACAGGCAGCAATAAAACGGAAGTTCAAAGCTTTCCCCATTAAAAATGTGTTTTATCTGTGTCTCATTGGACATAAAGTATGTCCCACTGCTTTCTGCCATGACAGGAAGGGGCTATAAAAATTAAAACCGTTTTGGCTGGAGTGGAGCTTTAAGTGCAATGCCAGTCATATGGCAGCTTTGTGTAGGGATGAGGGTGCAATTGCCCAAATTTTATTTTTGCCAATTTAATAAACCTCAAGCACTGAAAATCCCACGCAAATGCTTCCTTGCTACAGCTGGGACTTCCATCAATTGTTTTTACCGGTATAAATATGATCTAGCAAGGTGATAACGGCTTTCACCCGTGGAACCCTAATAAACACAGGTATTTCCTGTGCAACATTGCCAATGATTAACCAAATATGAATTATAAAAAATATTGAGTGCAATATTACCTCAAAGCTCATGTGTTTATACTCTGGCATCTCTGTTATAGATAACAAGCGAATGGCCATTTTTTGTATTTGACCTTGAAGATAACAGAACTCTTGACTTTGGACAGGCTGTAAAATATGACAATGAACAGTGTGCCAGATATTCACAGAGAACTGATCAATAAAATGATTACACTAGCGGATACTTACAGAGTATTTCTTAGTGGGCGTTTGGTCATGTTTCCATATTTTAGTTATGGTTTTAACTGAAATTCCATTAAATTTAGGCTGAAAAACTGTAGGAAAAAAAGCAGGTGTGAGCAACAGTTCCCTGATTATTTCCTATCCTAGGTCCACAGAACATAAGATTTACACTGAGAACTCTGGAAGGCCGGAAATTAATAACATACAGATTCTCTAACTACATTTTAAAGATAGTGTAGAAAGGTAGTGTTAGGGTTTAATAACTAAATACCGGGTACAACATTAACTTCTGATGAATTTACTAGCATGGAAACAGCCTTACTGGTTTTCCACTGGGGGGGCACACTGCCAGCTGCATCAAACACTTGTAGGTGTCATATGAACAGCCATTCCTACAGCCTACATGCAGGAGGTTCAAGACTTCCTTCTGCACCAGAAACATGTTGTGGCGTGGCTGAAGTTCAACAAGGGGATAAAGTCAAGTGACATTTCAGGGGTGCATTGTAATTTGGCTCTACTTAGCCTCCCTTCACATCTCTGAGATGCAACATCGCAGGTGCGTTGAATGGAATACTTGCAGTATTGAATGGGCTACTTTTTACAGCTAAATTGCAAGTGCATGCACCTTATTTTAAAAAGCACACCGCACCACAACAACATGGTGCCATGCAATGCAGTTTGATGCAATACACATGGAGATGACTAGGTGCATTGGAGTGCCATTAAAAAATAATGGCACCGCAGAGCACCTAACATTGCAGAATCCAATCTCATGCTATGCAGGATTGCGCATGGCATTGCACACGCTCCTGCACAGCAGAGATCTGAACGAGAGCTAATGCAATGGAGGCGCTATAATACTATGCCGTTTCTACAAGACCATGGCGTAACATGCAACACTGCATTCACCTAAAACATTTTGGAAACTGCCCTCTTAAATAGTTTTTGGACCAGTTTTTTTATAATTTCATATTCCCAGGCCAAGCCGAGAGTAGAATTAAGGCCGTGAACAAAAAGTACAGATCCTTCTAGTAGGCACACTATCAGTACACACTTCATAATCTCAAACTTGCCACAAGCATTTAGGATCCGACACCTTGTAAAGATAAATATCACAGTCTAGATCCTTCCCTACAATTGTAACCTGCATAAACCTTTTTATAGTCAGAGATGCAGATACACAGTAGTAGCAAATGTACACATATTTAGAAAAGACAAGGAGATATTACTGACCATTAGAAGCGCTTGTTGTAATAGTCACTGCAGAAATGGCATCCAGTACTGGCTTGACATCCACATGAATAAGTTCTGCATTTACAACATCTTGATCATGAGAGGCAGTGAGTTCCATCAGGTCAAGGTTAGAGGTCATTCTGTGAAGAGAACAATATGGTCAAATATATCTAGATCAAATGTTAAGGGATTCTAAAAAAAAAAAAAACAACCCTACACAACCTGCTTGCATCAGAAAGAACTGAGATGGTGTTTCATCAGAAATTATATATATATATTAATTATACACACACACCTCCCTGGCAGGGGATCATGTAATACACTGTAGTAACTAGGGATGCACTGATACCAAATGCCGTACTCGGTACAAGTACAGATACTTTGAGCTCCAAGACTAGACTAGAGAAAAATTCAAAAGTTAGGAGGCAGCTGTCATTTGTAAGGAGCTCCTGGGATTTGTACATCTGTTTTAATGTATGATTTTTTTTTTTTATAAATATAAAAGGATGCACCTACACCATTTTTTGCAAGTACAAGTACTGATACTTGTCCAAGTACTTACAAGTACAGATAGATTTTTGTTTGCCATGTGACAGTTTCTCTAAAACAATACAGACTAATGATTTCAGGACAGCGGTGGAGCACCAGAGCCAGGTCCCAGCTGCAACCCTGGTCGTTCGTGAAAATGCCAAGTATCGCCACTGGTATCTGAACTGGTATCAGTGCAAACCTAGTAGTAACCACTGCGTGTACATAGGGCACCGTATTAGATTGCACAGTTGAAGCTGCACCATCAAGTTGGTGTATGAGGTCTGGACTCCAGAATCTCCAGATAGCCCAACACCAAAGGAATGATCATTTTGGCAGAGATGCAGTGGTTGAAAGGCCATCTCTTGAAACCTGCCAAAAGTCAAATGAAATCTAGCAGCTACATGGAAAATAGATTTTACCTGTAAATTGGACCATGCTGGTCATTAATGCAGTCCGCTCTCGCTACATGTTTGTTAAATAAACATTCATTCTGATACTGCACAGGAAAACCCATTTTCTTATTATTGTTAGGTACTAGGGATGCACCGATATATCGGCCGCCGAAACATATTTGCCGAAAATTGCACTTTTGGCTAAATGCCGAAAGTGCCATTTTCCTGCCGATACATCAGCGCATCCGTGATTTATTTTCTCCCCGCTGGGCGCTGCTCTGTGTTCCAGCGTGTCCCAGAGAAAAAGTGACAGCCGGCCGAGCGCTGTAAGAGAACGGTATCTCTCCTCCCACACCGCTCGACCGCCTATCACAGTGCGGCAGAGCGGTGTGGGGGCCGAGACTGCGCTGTCACAGGAGGCTGGGCTCTCCTCTCGCACCGCTCGCTCAGCCTCCTGTGACAGCGTGTCAGAGAGGAGAGCGGGTACATAAACTCAGCAATCAGTGATTGCTGAGGGTTTGTAGATAATTGAGGATATGGTATGGTTAATATATCCTCATTTATGAATGAACGGGAGTGATCTACATCCCCTCCTGTTCATTCATAATTGTGGTTATAATAATCATACTATGCTCTCAAGTTATCAATGAACAGGAACACTCAGTATAGAGGATTCCTGTTCATTCATGATTGTTGTTGCAGAAAAAGAGATTGAGGACTCGTGTTCTCAATCTCTTTTTCTATTTTAAAAGTGAAATATGAGCGGTCTGTTTAGACCCCCAATATTTCCCAAAGCCCCTAAAAAAAGTAAAAAAATAATATTTAATTTTTTTTAAAAAGATTAAAAAATTAATTTAAAAAAAACCATTAAAATAAAAAACATTTTCGGTATCGGTTTCGGCCTGACAATATTTTCTATTTCGGTTTTTAAATTTCTATTTCGGTGCACCTTTATTAGGTACTATGGGGGACATTTATCAATTCTGTCACACAGAAAAGCTATGTTTATCAGGAGCAGTTAGACAGATTATACAACAGATTACAAGGTTACAGCTTAATTCAAATGCCTCCCTCAGCTATTCTACTGCAGATCTGTGACAGAATAAAACCTGATCCCGATTATTTAATTGTGCATCTGTTTAGAGTCAATATCTGGTTACTATAGATGCAACAATCTGTTGCACTTGGCTGCCCAGAAACTGACACACAAGTCTGTAAGCCTGTTGGAGACTTTGCTGAAGGAAAGGCAGCCTGATTTGTGACTAATTGATAAATGTCCCCAATGTCAGGGCTACCTGTGACACGTTTACTATTTCTTGTGATCAAAAACAAAAATTAATTTGCAAGCATTAATACTAACTTTTTATTTAGACTGCAAGCCATCTGAAACAGAAAGAAAGTTTACAATGTATTAGAAGCATAATAAATTGCAAAGATTGAACAATAAAGGAGGCAACACAAACCAAACAAGTATGACAGAGACACATGTGGTAAACTGGTAAAAAAAAAAAAAGTGTCAAAAAAGGGCAGTATAAAAAAGGTTTTTTTAATAAATAGCTATGTTTCAAGTACCCAAGTCCACAGAGTCTGAAGGTGCCCATACACCGGGCTTAAAATTTCCACTCGCCTGCTCACATTTTGCGAGTAAAAATAAGGCGAGGGCGCATTATTGAGAGTGGAAATTTGAGACCAGAGCAGCTCCCGTCAGTTCCGGCTTCCTTCGGCCGGAGCTTTGACAGTTCTGAGCTCCGGCAAAGGAAATAATGTCTGTGAGCAGGATCGATGCCTGGCTATCTGGGTGTGATAGTGAGGGCTGCTGCAGACCTCTGTAATCACTCACAGATAAACCAGGGATCGATCCTGCTCACAGCCTCCAAGGCAAGGTTTAGTGGGACAACTGGTGGAGAGTAAGGTTTTTGCCTGGCTTGTAGGTCTAGACTTGAAATGTTACGTCTAGATCCCACGATCGTGCGAGAATCAGTGTGAATGAAGACGTGCAACCGTTTCTACTGTACGGTCACATGTCTTTTGTCTAAGGAGCATGCTAGAAAACCAGCCAACAATCTTACGATTTTCGGCTGGTTTGAACGATGCTCAGGAGACCAATGCCGAACGGGCCGGTGTGTGCACGCGCACACTGCCCATTCAGCATTGCAGTCATCGGAAGCCCGCCGATTATCGCAAGTACGATCTGCCTGTCCAAGATGGGTAGATCGTACGTTTTTTTTTTACTTTACAACCATCGCAAGACTAAGGTCTTGCGATGGTTGTAAAGTGTATGGCCACCTTAACAATGGCACTTTCCCCGATGCAGTAGAAACCACACAGACTGAATGGGCAGGAAGTTTGATGATTTTTCTGGATTTAGTTGGCCAAATATGCTGTTCACAATAATCCTGTGATAAACAAACACACACAAAACACACACAAACACTATGCATACATCTTCATTAGGCCAGAACTGTTCTTGCAGAGCTCCCATTAAAAAATTAAATGCACGGCTTAATTTTTTGGCATATAACATTTTGTGGTAGCAATAGCAGGAGTTACGCTAATACTTTATTATCATTAAAATGTTTATACAAGTTGACAAATGTGAACATTGTTTTGGATTTTTTTATCATCAGACATTCTTAGTTTTTTCCTTGTTTCCATACATTGTGACCAAACTCAGTGCCATAATTCAAAAGAAAAACCAAACAAAAATACAGTTTATACATACCCTCCCTATCTGGCAGTCCATCCTTAATCCACTTCCTAGTTTCTTCCTGCTCTGCATATCTACTGTTGCATTTCCTCAAATACAATATTATACTTTTACCCATTAATCCAGGAGGACTCAGGTCCGATTAACATTTAAACTTCTAATCCACCTATTCCAATCCCCTGGAATTGCCTAGCCAATTCCTCAGCCCGTAGGTAGGTTCTTCAAATCGAACATACTTATCGATTTCCATTCTTTAATTGAATTTTTAAAATAACACTTTTATAGACAGCACTGCTTTATCCATTTACAACAAAATAGGTGATTTTATTGATCCTCACTTCAAGGACCACAAATATGAATGATTTTCTCAAGACATGACATTTGTATAGGGTCGGGTTATAAGTAAGTAGATTGTATTTCTTTAATTAGTATGCGAGTTCACATACCATTGCCTGAAAGCAACAGTTTTAGCTCAAAGAAAATTAAAAGTTCAGTGAAAATACACCCATTTAGGAGGGAAGTTTAACCTCTTGCCATCCGCCCGTTAAGAAAAAAACGGACGGACGGCTGACTCCTATCTGCGGGTTGCCGTCGTCAGACGGCATTTTTCTCCTGCTCGCGCGCGCCCCCTAGCGCGCGCGCACGGGCAGGAAAGACCCGCTTGTTACTACAGCCGTTAACGGCTGTTTCACATACAACCGATCAGCGGCTCTATAGCCGCTGATCGGTTGTATGGCGTGAATTTCAAATATATAAAAAAAATAAAAACCCCAGTGGTGAATAAATACCACCAAAAGAAAGCTCTATCTGTCCCCAAAAAAGGGTATAAAATTCATTTCAGTACAGCGCTGCATGACGGAATAAATGTCAGTCAAAGTACCGCAGCGCTGAATACTGAAAAATGGCCTGGATGGGAATGGGGTTTAACACCGCGGATGTCAACTGGTTAAAAAGGCTTTTATAGATTAAAGTTTTTAAACTGATTTAAACATTTTTTTTTGGTGCAATAAAAATAGCTGGCAAACATCTTTAGTGCCCAACAAGAATGGCTATCACGCTGAAGGCAACCAGTTCCCAAAAAGAAGTCTACAACTTGCAGCTGTCGTTTTTGACAGAAGTAGCAGTGTGCACAGGTGCGAGTGCTAGTTCTCAGCTGAAATGGTCAGTCTTCATGGTGTGGGGTGTTGGAATTGATAAAATTGACATCTAAGTGTTCCTTGATAACCTGAACTGAAACAGCAATGTGGCTTGGTGATACGTAAACGAGAATCAAAGGGTTTTTGGAGAAGGGAAGATCTGCCTGAGGTGCCTTATCAAGCCAAACCCCCTGCTGGTATTTACTGCCCACACCTGTGCAGCATACATGCCGATGGGGGCAGGAGCATTTGATGGAACCTTCTTCCTATGTGAAGAACTGCGTAAACCTAGCTCAGAAGCAGGAACAATGGTAACCTTGGTTACCTCTTAGGCTGGGTTCCCACCTGGGCGGTCGAAATATGCGCTTATGACGAGCGTTTACGAAACGCGCGTTTACGACAGCTATCCGGCTGTATCCTAATGGATACGCGTGGAAATGCGCCCCAAAGAAGCTCCTGTACTTGTTTGGGCGTAGGGCATTTTTTAGATCCTGTGGGAACCATGCCCATAGGAAATAATGGGATTTGACTTGCTGAGCATTTTTCAGCGCTTCCATCAGCGCTGAAAAGCGCCCAGGTGTGAACCCAGCCTTAGACAAGACAGTCTTTCTGGACTCTCCAGCAGGTTTAGCAAATTACATTCTTGACTGTAGGAGTGTTCTGAGCAGAGAAAAAAAAACAGTGTGTGTGTGTGTGTGTGTGCGCGCGCGCTCTTGCTAGCTGAAGGACCCTAACCTCAATTCCTATCCCTACTAACCCCCTCCAAAACCCCCTCTCCATTTTCCTTAATTGTAATTAGAATGTATGTATATCCCCATTTGTAAATAAACCCAACACTGATTTAAGATTCAGTCGTCCATCAGTAATTTAAGGCACCCTAAAGCAGAGCACATTCTACATGGGGAACCGCAAGCTGCATAGCCTTTAGTAAATGAGCAATGACAGTGTGACATTAGGGAACGCATCTGCAATTTCTACAATTATACCTTTTGAACATTACCTGGAGAAAGCATTTCGGTTCAAATTCATCCACAAGGCTTTCACAATCCTTCAGAAGGCTTTCAACTGTGACTTTGTGGTGAGCCATTGCTTTCTTACGGACTTCATGGCGTTTTATAGCGGTGTTTTGTTGCTGTTTGAGGAGTTCCAAACACTGTTTCTTCTTTAAATCCAAAGTCTTATACGCTTCTTCAAATGCTACATTAACCATGTCCAAGTTCTTCCTCAGTGTATCCTAGATATAAGCAAATAGAAAACACTGACAACCGTGACTTTCTGAAATAGCACAAGGGATAAAAGTATTAGAAAACAACCTATTAGAAGGATGTGTCTGAGATTTCACAAAATCCCCATTGAGAAGAAGTCTGTGTATTGTATTCACAAAGACTAACAACCAGGCAGGTACAACCAGAGCGCTGTACAGCTCGGGAGGCATCTCCCTCTCTTCAGTGTCCGGTAGCTGGATGTTGTGTGCAGGGAACGGCATGCTGAAAGGTAAGATTTTTATACCTTGCAGCACATGACACCCAGCTTTTTAAATAATAATTTATGCACCCAGGTGTATACATTTTTCCAGAGTGTGGTGTGGTTTTTAAAGTATATTCCCCCTTTTGCAGGCACATTTCTGAAACCCCCACTATAGGTCTGTTGTGGGTTCCTATTATTCCTATATAAAAAAAATATTTACCTTTCTGGCTGTTTGTTCAGAGCAGGATTATGCTTAGCACTCTACAGGCAGCGTCTAGTGGTTAGAATAATTGGAAGTGTAAAGCTGGCGATACAGATTCTTCCAGCAACACTAAGCAGCAAGGATGGAGGAATCCCCCGCCGTTCCCATTGATTTCTGACAGCAGCCGCCACCCGTTGTCAGAATACCGGAATAGTGTTTGCAGCTATAGACTTTCCATCTGGCTCCTTTGATCGAGGCATGCCGGACGGGAGGGTGCCAAAAAGGGCACTACTGTGTGAATTTTGTCCGGTTCATCAAGGACCTGCCGAAATTTACATTGTATATGGCCAGTTTAATGCGACACTAAACTCAGGAGTTAAATCTTAATGCATTCAAGCACCTTAACTATTAGCAAAATGTATCTTATCTGTGTGTCACTCGGCTGTAGATCATCAAATCATCTCTGAGTTGCTGCCGACACTGTCCTTTCTTCTGGAGGGTGGCTACTTTTGTTTCCCCATGTGTGTTGTAGCCACCGCTCCAAGCTCATTCTTGTAATGAGACAACAATCTCAATACAATCTAGTAAACTAAATTAACAGGAGATTGTAGTCCATCATGGCTCATTGGGTAGTGAAGCCAGAATCATGACAGCCGTAAAATCTTCACCTTTCAAATTAAAGTCAGGGTCCAATGTCCAAATTGAAGTCAGCCCTGGTGAGCAACACAGTGTGTAGCTTCCTATTAAACTGCATTGCACTGACAGTCCTTCCTTCTGGAGGGTGCCTTTTTTTGTTCCCCACGTGTGTTGTAAAGTAGCCACCGCTCCAAGCTTGACTTTACCTCCAATAGAAACTAAACATGAGATTGTTGTCCATCACGGGAGTGAGGTTGGAGTGGTGGCTACTTTACAACACACTCAGGGAACATGTCAACCTTTTTTGTATATCCGTAAAACAGACATTGACCAGACAATGATAATCAAACCATGAATAAGAAGATTCAAAAAGCCGCCAAGGGAATCAAACATAAGAAATCAAAAGGACAGTACCATTATAAACATAATTGTGAGTGAACAAGATCTAAGAATTAGGTTTCCTATAAAAAAGGAACATAACTTTACAGACCAATACTAAAGAGGGCAGCTAATCTACAATAGTCATTGGCTGTAATAATAGAATATGAAGTACTTAGTCACCCAACATGGAGTGATATGGGCCAGCAGCTCCCTTTTTATTTATAAAATCAGTCTCAGTAACAGAAAACTATACAGAACCCATATGCATTTAACATCACTTATGTGGTAAGCTTACCTTTGTCAGTGTCATTTCCACTGAACGGCAAATGAGGCAAAAATAAAAGTATACAAATTGGCACAGGTTTCCACTTGCATACTAGTGGAAAATAACTGGAAGTGGAAATCTAGTGACGTGAATTGTAAAATCTACTCTTATAGGATGCACTATATAAAAGAAGTGTGCAGCAGTTTCTAGATGTATAGGGAAATTACTAACGAGAACATAAATCAATAACAATAATTGACTGATTGCTAAGGGTTAATGCACATAACCATTGTACTACAAAAACAAGCCCACTAGTATGTGGCATGCACATTATTTTAAATAAGAAACGTCACATTATGAAAGTAGTAGTGACCTTTATCCTACGTATTTTCTCACGATGCAAACAAACTCATATGGCACAAAGCAGCAATGGCCAGTGTACAGCCTCTCATTTACGATTATGCTTCTTTGAACATGGTTACATTTAGCCTTCATATCACTGACATGTGTTTTTGTATATTTTAGCAGTGTTGAATTTGCCTCCATACTGTAAAAGATATGGTTTTCCATTGCATATATATTTGGGGGAATTTATAAAAAAAAAGTGTGACAGAAACTGGAGCAATTGCCCAAGGTAACCATTCAGCGCCTCTCTTCAGTTTGCTCAGTTGGGATTTGAAAATGAGAAATAGAAGCCAATTGGTTGCCATGCAAATCTGCTTCAGATTTTGTCTGCTCCAGTTTTGATAAATTCCTCCCATTGTATGTTAGTCACTTTTACTTTTGTTTTACCCATTGCAAGCACAACTACTATGTCCAAACATAAAGGGAGAACAGAATGCAAAACCATGGAATTAGAAGTGCACTGAAATTTCGACCGCCAAAACATATGGGCCAAAAATGGCACTTTTGGCAAAATGCCTAAAGTGCCATTTTTGGACCGTAATAACGGTGCATCTGCAATTTCTCTCCTCCCTGCTGAGCACTGTAATGTCTCCCAACGGGGAGCAGAGAAAGTGTCAGTCAGAGCGGTGTAGGAGGAGGAGAGCGATGTGAGCAGCCGGTGTCTCTCCTCCCCACACCGCTCAGCCTCCTGTGACAGATCGAGAGAACGACGGTGTGGGGGGGAGATTGGTGACAGCTGTACCAGGAGCTGGCGGTGCAGGGGAGGAGTCAGCTGTCAGACCAAGCTCTCCTCCCCCCATCGCTCGCTCAGCTTCCTGTGACAGCCGATCCAGGATGGAGATCGGGTACACACACTCAGTGATCGCTGAGTGTTTGTAAATAATGGAGGACATAGTATGGTTACTGTGTCCCCAATTATGAATGGGAACTGATCTACATCACTTCCTGTTCATTCATGATTGTGGACATGGTAAACATGCTAGCTCTACAAGTTATGAATGAACAGGAACACTCAATATAGAGGCTTCCTGTTAGTTTATAACAGGAGATGTAGAAAAAAAGATTGACGACTGTGTTCTCAATCCCTTTTTCTATTTTAAAAAAGGAAATATCAGGGGTCTGTTTAGACCCCTAATATTTCCCCGAAGCCCCTAACAAAGTAAAAAAGAAATATTTTTTTAAAAACAAACGTTTATAAATAAGATATTTTTTTTCAAAAAAAAGTTAGAAATGTTTTTTTTTTTCCTCGGTTTTAACATTTTCATTTCGCTGCGCCTCTACATTGCATCAATTATAGGCAGCTCTCGTGAAACATTACACATAAATTACTTTTTTTTTTGAAGATAGGAGCATAGAAGGACCTGAGGCAGAAGGTCACTACAGAGACAGAAAGCTGGGGAGGTACAGACTGCTCATTCCACTTTTCGTATTTCAATAGCATGCAAAGGATCATTTTGCACTTGGAAATGTAAAGATCTTTCTGCATAAAATATCCCCATCCTGCAAAATGAGGAGTGAGTAAGGCTGGGTGTGACTGAAACATTGAAGCATAGTTGTTTATCTGCTCTACATGTCTCTCTAATAAGGTAGATTAAGTGGAGGATGTTTGGCAAACCCGAGTCTGTACCCGTCAATCACTCTACAGCTCCCGATTTCACCTCGCTCCAAGTTCCTGGATCTCTTCTCCTCTGGCCCTGGTGCCTGTTTCTGCCACGCCCATCACCGGCTCTTTAATGCTACTGCCACCAAACTGACCCTTCTGATTTTTTTTAGTTAGTCCATGCAGACAGAGGTTATTTTGCCTCCTAATGCTATTTCTTCTTTCACTGCTGGTCAGCATATTTCTCACGTTAGTTTTCCCATTCTTTATTTATACAGACCAATAGTAAATCATGCACTTGATTCCAAATTAAGTTCTGACTTGATCTAAAAAGGTACTGCCTAAATAACTTTTTTTCCATAAAGTTACTTTCCCATATTCAAGTTAAAAAAAAACATAGCCAGTACTTATGTATCCAGTTTGGTTTTGATGCATGTTCTATGAATGAAGCTATTTTTGTTTACATATGCAACTGAAGCTAAAATCTTACGTTTTTGAAAGAGTGCAGAGGGATTAGAACCCCTGTCAGGTTTTTATTGTCCCCAATAGGGAGATTCACTCTATTTATCCTGGTGACCCTCATCACTGAAAAGAAAAATTAGAGGTGCACCGAAATTAAAATTTCAAAACCGAAACAAAAAAAATGTCAGGCCGAAACCCAAAATGTTTTTTATTTGAACTTTTACAAAAAAAACATTTTTTTAAATTTACTTTTACAAATTAATATATTTTTTTTTCATAAACTTTTAAATGTGTTATATTTATTTTTATTGATTCATTTTTTACTTTTAGGGGCTTTGGGGGAGATATTAGGGGCCTAAAACCGACCCCTGATATTTCCCATTTAAAATAGAAAAAGAGATTGAGGATACAGCGTCCTCAATCTCTTTTTCTGCAGCCACAATCATGAATGAACAGGAATCCTCTATACTGAGTGTTCCTGTTCATTGATAACATGAGGACAGAGTATGTTTACTATAGCCACAATCATGAATGAACAGGAGGTGATGTAGCTCACTTCCCATTCATTCATAATTGAGGATATAGTAACCATACTATGTTCTCAATTATGTACAAAAACTCAGCGATCACTGAGTGTTTGTATTCGCTCTCCATCCCGACAGCTGTCACAGGAGGCTGAGCGAGCGGAGCCTCCTGTACATTGGCTCCACTAGGCCCTAGTACAGAAGTAACATCAATGTGGGGACAAAGTGGAGGTCTTACAAAATGCTGTTCAAGGATACAAATATACTCACAAATTCTCATGTTTTACATAGCTACGAGCTGCACCTCTCTGAACTCCTAGCTCTGCATAAAAGCTTATGCTATGATTAAAGTGGAAGTAAACCTACAGTTTCTACTTATCTGCAAGTTACTACATACTGTACTTATGTTGGACTGCGTCCTGTCCATCCACATCCTTCCCATTGCAGAGATATCTCTGAAGCTAGCTTTTGTGACGTCATTGGCGCATGTGCGCTTGAAGACTTAGGCCTGGTTCACACCTAGGAGTTGTTGAGATTTCCTCACTTCCTCTTGTGGGTATTGGACAGGATGTGAAAAAAGTCTCCCCAGTGGGATACGGATGGCAAAAAAAAAAAAAAAATCTGACAGGGGTCATAACTAAAATTTTAGCTTCTACTCCAAGTAGAGATTTTTTGTTTTTTCACATGGTTTTAACTTTCAGGATTGCCACCCTTTTTGAAATATAGCACTTAAGTTAAGATGCATCATATGAGGTATGTGCTATAGCAGATCATTTTCAGCCAATGGTCCTAAAAATCAGTTATTTTTATTGTTTCAAGTCACATTAAATGTCCCTTTACCTGTTTGTTTAAATCACAACAGCCGGACAGTGGACTCTAACAGGGGTGGCCGTTTTTAACCACTTCAAGACCAGGTGTTTAGACCCCCTTCCTGGCCAGGCCATTTTTCAGTATTCAGCGCTGCGATACTTTGACTGACGTTTATTCCGTCATGCAACGCTGTACTGAAATTAATTTTATATCATTTTTTGGGGACAGATAGAGCTTTATTTTGGGGGTATTTAATCACCACTACGGATTTTTTATTATAATTAGGAAAAATTACTGAACATTTTGAAAAAAAAAATGTTTTTTGTAACATTATGTTAGGAAACATTTATTATTACCCAGTTTTTTGGTCAAATATAAAAGATAAATCGCTTGTATGGTGCATTGGAATATTGCATTGCAAGAAAGAAAAATAATATCAGCTGCAGAGAGTCCACAAGCAATACAGGTGTCTATTTATTTTTCCTCTGCCTGCCTTTTTTGGGCACATATTTCAGTTCATAAAGCAGAAGCAACTCCAAGCGCACTGCCACTGCAGAGAACGTCTGAAGATTCAGGCTACGTTCCATAGCAAACAATAATTTACATGGGAAAGGGGGTGGCGGGGGGGGTTGGAGGAGGGGCCACAATAGTATAGATATCGGTGCAGATACAGCG